GCCCCCACGGCTGAAAGGGCGAGCATGTTTGGTATGATGGGGATTCGAACCCGCGACCCGCAGATTGCGAGTCGAGCGCCCTAACCACCTGGCCATGCCGGGCCAGATTAAAGGCAAATTTTATATTACTGGATACGGTAACATGAGTGCATGTGCGCTGCGTCATTACAATGTCTGTAATGTTAGCCAGGCACGGTTGAAGGGTCAATACAATAAAAATAATAAATAGATGTATAATGTTACGAGACTTAAGCTATTTAGTCTAAACATTTACTTTTCGTTTATAATTTGTAGTCATTCTAGAATGAAAGAAGCATAATTTATATTTATTTTCTAATTGGTTATGTTGGTTACGAGATCGGTCAAATCTATTGAATCCGTAGAGACTCATTAGTGAAAATAGCAGATAAAATAGAAACGTTTGATAACTATCTGGACATTATAAAGATTTCGCATATGAAATTTGAAAATTTTCTGATGCATGAAAATATTTTTAATCTTAAAATAAAAATACTTTGCATGTTGGATAGGTAACAAGTGAAAAGACAAAAATGGTATGAGAAATTTTGCTTAACAAACCTTGAGAATTAATGTTTTGCGTACGAAAACATTGTAATGTTAACTGATAATCTGGCAAATTTCGTTAACATTCGCTTACTAATTTAAAAGTTATAGCATGAAAACTATAACAAGCACACAATGGTTACGAGGATGATCCGACGGACAGAGCCAGTGTTGAAAGGGTTAATTTGTATTGCACATATTGCATACCTGGCCCATTCCTACTATAACTACTACTGTACTTATAATACGTAAATAAAGTCCACATTCATATAGAATTTTCTGTAAGTGAAATAAGAGCAGAATAAAAATAAAACACGCAAAAAAGCGTTTATTGCGTTTGTACATTTTTCAAGAGTTTCAAATAAACTTACTTTCCCAAAACTCCCCTTTCCTAAAACTTTTAAGAAACGGAAATCGCTCAAGGTGTATTTCTTTCTTTGCTGGGTTTTGGAAACTTTGGGTGTAATCATAGAGGACTGTGTTGGTGTAGCGGGTTTTTCTGAGGATTTATTTCTCCGAGCACTGCTCGCCTGCTCCAACAAACGATCATACTCCTCGTCCGAATCACTGCTGTAAGAAGACGGTGGAAGAACAAAAGACAGAGATATCTCAGGTGGAGTTCCTGTCTTTGTAGTCACAGTAGGTGGGTAGATATCTGTATGAGAAAACAGTTCAGTTACTTAATATCATTTGATCTAAAACAAAAGCTTATAAATAAAAGTATACATTTTTGTTTAACAACTAAACCTAGATTGTAAAACTTCTAGGACTTCAGTACTTGTAGAAACAAAAATATTCAGATGATAAATCACAAAACATTTAAGATGCAATACTGAGTGGCCCAAGATTCAAGCATAGCCGTCCTTAATTTTAAACTAATGACGAGAAGAAAGGCAACCAGCCATAAGCAATCAACGCCCCAAGGGCTATGTATCAAATAACGAAATGAGTGTTACTTTTATAACGCGTTCAAAACTGAAAGTGGTGAAGCGTTCAACATCATCGCCTCTTGAACCTTGAACCCTTTGGTAAGCAATCCGCCACGCTAGCCACTAGACCACGTCCAGTATTTGTTGAAGTGGACTAATTTTACCCATGTTACCCCATTAATATAAACATAACTAACGATTTGTTATAATTTTATAAATCCCCCCTCCCAGAGGTTCAGCAGTAAGTCTTTGGACTTGTAACGTTAAAAACTGGGTTTCAATAACTGTGGTGAACACAACGCAGATAGTTCATTGTGTAGATTCGTGCTGAACGGCAAATAAACAAAAATTTAATAAAAAAGATATCACAAAATATTATGAAAGTTGGAATTATTTAGCCCCACCTCGTGATGTTAGTTTTAATTTTATATAAATACTTCTCACCATATTTCCCAGCTATATATCCTATTTTACAGTAATAATGTCACTAAAAAAAATTCTTACCTTTCTTAACCGATGCCAAAACTTCTAATAGTACCGTACTTGCCGGTGTATAAGACGGTCCTTTTTATTCTTAAAACAATGCCTGATTTTATCTCTCGTCTTATACACAGGTTAAAGATAGAGTTCCAGTAAGAACTCTCCGATTAACAGCATATTTAACCAAAACTACGTTGTTCTTTTTACTTTTGTTTCCTTTTTTGAGTGAGTGCGTTTACATGGTCCCACCTACTGCGTTACAATAACATATTTGTAATTGTATCATTTGTCTTTATTCTTCATAACTAGAAGTTATTTATCACACATGCTAGTTACAATTAATCAAGACATTTTTGATTTGAAATGTATTGATCTCATCCGTCATACTAAAATAATGCTAATATTTTATCAATATAGTGATCTACTATAAAAACATGTTTACAAAATTAGTGTACGGCACAGAAACGTTTTTCTTAAGGTTTAGTATTTTTTGTAATATAAAAGGAGTTCAACTGTGATGAAAACTTTATAAAGTTGTTTATTACATGTTTGTGACTTAAGTTATGCCACATTGAGCTGTCTGTAGCGTTTGAAAAGCATAAAAAAAATCCCATTTGTGGTTGTATTGATTATCCCAGAGCGCAGGTGAGCACAGTTTAAAAATACTTTTTTACAAAAGTAACATCCTAGACTTGCTTGACAATAGAGGGCGTCCTATACACTGAATCTCAAAGAATTACATTTAATTTGCTCAAAAAATAAATGCATGGTCGACTTATACACCGGCAAATACGGGAGTTTTGGTAACTCCATATAGCACATTCTTACTTTTCATAACGGTATCAGTTCTCGGTTAACTCCATTTAACACATTCTTACCTTTCTTAACTGTTGTTAACACTTCTGATAGTAGTTTTGGTAATTACACGTAATAGATTTTTACCTTTTTTAACTGTTGCCAACCGTTATAAAAGTTTTGTTTAACTACATGTAATACATTTTACCTTTCTTAACTGTTGCCAACACTTCTGATAATAGTTTTTGGTTAACTCCACATAAGTTGGGTACGTGTATCGCACATTTTCGGTGACAGTTCAGCTTACATTCTGAAATCATCACATACTCTAGTTTTGAATATGTTTTCATACAGAACAACACTTAACTATATGTATTGTTATTTAAGAAAGCCTTCTCTCGACCTTCTTTTCTTTGTTTAATTATTTTCGACTAAGTTCCTTTAGACGTCACGTGCTTGTTACATGTTAAAACTCAGAACACACAATGCACTAGGTGATTTAATGTAAGCGAAGCGCGATGTTAGTAGCTCAGTAGAAAATTAATGCTTTCCTTAATTTAAAGACAAGCTTTGTCTAATAGCTATTCTGTGTTTACGTCATGTACCTTGTCAAGTACAGTCTTGTGTTAGGCTTTTTATTTGTGTAGCCTCATCAACCTCTTCATTTTATAGTTTCTGGTGAATTGATCGCTATTAATCCTCTAGCATTCTTCACGTTCGTAAACCGAAAATAGCACGGAAAAGTTAAAACATGGACAACAATTTATAGTTTAACTACTGTAAAGAATTAGTTTAAACAGCGAAAAATGCTACAAGAAATAATAATAGACGCAATACGTATTACCCAGGTCTCTAAAAGCAAGATACAACTTTACCCGTGGACTTGTTAACAACTTACTCAATTGTTTTTGTTTTTTACAATAACTTATTCAATCATTTTTTCCTTTACAACAACCTACTCAGTCGTTTTTCTTTACAACAACTTACTCAATCGCTTTTCTTTACAATAATTTATTCAATCGTTTTACATGACAACAACCTACTCAGTCGTTTTTCTTTACAACAGCTTACTCAATCGTTTTTCTTTACAATAATTTATTCAATCGTTTTACATGACAACAACCTACTCAGTCGTTTTTCTTTACAACAGCTTACTCAATCGTTTTTCTTTACAATAACTTATTCAATCGTTTTACATGACAATAACTTATTTAATCGCTTTTGTTCACAACAACCTACTCAGTCGTTTTTCTTTACAACAACTTACTCAATCGTTTTTCTTTACAATAACTTATTCAATCGTTTTACATGACAACAACTTATTTAATCGCTTTTTGTTCACAACAACCTACTCAGTCGTTTTTCTTTACACTTTGTCACAGCCGAGTAAAACAACGACAAGATTTTTAAACCTTATGGTTGTTACAACCTCATATTCAATCAATTGATGATAACCAAAAAACTAAAACACGGTTAATAAATGGCCAAGGTTTCTGTAATAATAATCCAGGTTGAAAGAAGTTTTAGAAATCCATTAAGGTTGCATTAAATTTAATTTTCATATCTTTTTTATGTTTGGAAAACTGATCCTTAACAGTTTATTCATTTCATTAGAGGGGTTCAGTTAATTGAATTTATTTTTTGATACTTTTTGGTTTCTATAAACGTCACGACAATGTTTTCGTTTGACGTCTGATGAGAGCGAGTACTCAAAACGTAAACAAATCAATGATAATACTAACTATATACTGATTATTTTTTAATATTTGTAACTATCTTTTGAAGATATTAAATCTACTTGCTTTTATTCTTTGTTTTAACTGTGCATGAATTATCATTGCTTCTCTTTTAAATTTCTATCAAATTTCCAGACTTTTCTATACAACAGTTATATAAGAATTTATTCAATCGTTTTTTACCACAACTTACTCTACATAGTAACAACGATTGGTTAAGTTTTGGTTAACACATCGTAACAACGATTGAGTAAGTTTTGGTTAACACATAGTAACAACGATTGAGTAAGTTTTGCTAAAGAAACACGACTAAGTAAACTGTGGTAAAAAACGGTTATAAAAGTGGAAAAAAACTGGATGTACTATAATAATATATATATATAGTTAAACGCTTCCTGAATGGCACAAGTGAAAGCTTTTTGGTATAAGTATTTTCGTCTTATCAAAACTGTGTGTTAAAGGATCTTTGTTTGACTTACAGTTGCTCGTGTGGTCAAAAATAGTGGTTCAAGTCTTTTGGTCTACTTAATACTTTGTAGAACAGTTGCATGTTAAAATATTTCAGTCGATTCAGTGTTGTCAGGTACAAATATTCTGGTTGATTCACTGTTGCATGGTAAAAAAATGCTGATAGATTCAAACTTAACTCTGAAAATAAATGTTTCTTATGTTCACCCACATAAACCTATCTTTTATAATGTGTCATACTTTCATGCTGAATGAACTTTAAAAGTTTAGTTACTTATCTTCGAATAAGAAATATCTTACCGAAAAAAAATTAAATACCAGAGATCGCATTATCGTGCCAAATGATAAATTGAATAAAACGGAGTATTGAGTAGAATATATTGTAAAACTCCAAGAAATGTTATGTATGATATGTTAATACATAGTAACAACGATTGAGTAAGTTTTGGTTAACACATAGTAACAACGATTGAGTAAGTTTTGGTTAATACATAGTAACAACGATTGAGTAAGTTTTGGTTAACACATAGTAACAACGATTGAGTAAGTTTTGGTTAACAGCACTGTTCTAGCTGTGAATTATTTTTCTTCACATCCTGCTAGCCTCTGAAAGATTGATCACTTACTTATACGGTTAATATATATCATCAGAACTGTTTGTCTCTTTACTAATGCACAGCTCCAGACCGTTACATAACTTCGAATTTAGGTTGTGATGAATCATATTATATCCATTACAAATCAACACGTAAGAGTTTAGTTTTTAACCTTACACTTTTTCTAGCTCTCTTCCTCTCTCTTGTAAATGGAAAGCATCTCTTGGATTTTGTTTTTGTTCCACGTCACTGAGTGCAAAGAAGTTCGCCACACAAGCACTAATCCATTACGTTTATTTACTTCGGTGTCGTTAACAATACTACAAAAGTTACAAAGTTTTTCGTGCCAAGGTAAGAATTTTTTGTGAAGATGCACAAGAGACGTCATTAGGTCGTAAGGGGGTATTCACTATTTAACGCTCATACTTCTGATAAAGTACATTTCGTAACACTATTACTTTTTTTTTACCATTGAGAAATACTACATCTACATTATCACCATGGCCCATCACTGTCACACTATCACCATGAACTACTATTGTCACACTTTCACCATAGACCACCAGTGTCACGCTTTCACTATGGGCCATCAGTGTCACACTTTCACCATAGGCCATCAGTGGCACACTATCACCATGAACTACTACAGTGTCACACTATCACCATGGGCCATCAGTGTCACAATATCACCATGAACTACTACTGTCACACTTTCACCATGAATTATCACTGTCATACTGTCACCACGAACTATTACTGTCTTATTGTCACCATGAACTATTACTGTCATACTACCAACGTGAAATGTTCCTGCCACACTATCACCATGAGCTATTACTGTCACAATATCACTATGAATTATTACTGTCACACTATCACCGTGAAATATTACTATCACACTGTCACTATAAAATATTATTTTCACATTATCACCATAAAATATAACATAAAATTTAAGAGTACCAAAAGACCTGTTGGTCCATATAGGCCATCCCGTCCACCAAAATAAACTAAACTTAAAATAAAAAACTCAAAGCTAATCCTTATCATTCAAATATTTATCAAGCTATCCCTCAAACTCTCACCAAATCTAAGGACATCCAATTCTAAAGACCAACAACACAGTTAGAAAAATAAAACTGTCTTAGCTGAAAAATGACTTACCCTAACAACATTTATAGTTGTGTCTAGCCATACCATTCTCACCATTAAGTAAAACAAAAGAAGAAGAAGAAAATGATGTATCAACATTATCAGTTCCCTTAACAGCCTCAAAAACCTCAATAATATTCCCTCTAACTCTTCTTTTTCCAAGAGGACACAATTTGAGAGATCTTAACCTGTCCTCGTATGACAACCTTTCCATGCCAGGTGTCATCTTAATACCCCCCCCTCTAAACTCTTTTGAACCAATTCCAGTGCGTCCTGGCTTACCGTAACACCGAGAACAATACCAGTGGACTCCCTTGAAAAGCACGT